AGCAGTGTGTGGCTGACCAATTTCTCATACCGGCTGCCGCGCTTGCAAGTCGTCTGCAAGACGGGACGGCACTTATGCAAATAAACAAACTAAAGAGCAAAGGGGTTCTCAAATAGGTTCTGAGATAGTTTTTTAACATTCTAGAATGATTGAAACCCTTCCGGAGTGTCAACAGAGGAAAATACGAAAACTGAATGTGAGCATGGTTTGCGTGTTTCGTTCCCCTCTCCCCCCTCCCCCGTCACAGGGGAATCTTCCTTTAGGTCAGTGCACTGTGAGTGTAGTTGTGGATTGTAAATAGAATGTTTCCTTTGCCTTTGTGTGCATCTACTGATTTTATTCTCTTTGAAACTATCCTGTTTTTTTAAATTTCATAGTAAATGAAATCAGGTAAATGCGTTGAAATTAGAAGACATGTTAATTGTCTTGGTTTGTCTCGGGAAATGACATTCTATTGCAATGCTGCAAGCTAACATAAATATTCTAGTACTAACATCTATTGATTAAAAGAATCCATAAATAGATGTATTTAGTGCAATAAATAATCCATATATTTAGTGCTAATAGATTTTGAATTGATATTGGGTTCAATGACACGATTCAGGTTTTGAGCGGTGGGTGACTTGGTAATTGGATTTAATGACACGATTGCTTTCACTTCACCAAAGTTTGTGTCCGACAACTGGAACCAAGTATTGGTAATGGTTTAGAAGCTGGTTCTCTGAATGTAAGCCCAATGTTAATAGTATACTGTATTCTTTTACTCCAAAGATAAAATATCACGAGGCATGATTAAGGTAAATTATGTTGGCGTATTGAGCAACAAGTGGCCTCTGCATTTGACTTCATGAGACGATTCACTGAATTTGACAAAACTTGTTCTCCGTCGAATGCTTCAGATCAGCCTGCCCTTAACTGAGTCACTTAATGTAAACTATGATTACATATTCCAGTCTATATTGTTTAATTCACTGGTTTAAAATGAAAGAATGACAAAAGGCTTCTCAAATATAACTAATAAATTTGTGAATTCATTAGTTGGAAGAAAATGATGTATCCAATAGTGATTCAAGCAGACGAATAGCAAATTAAGCGATTCAATGCTGGCAATGGAATGTTACTCGACTGAAGGAATCGCATTGGTGTGGCATCAAGGTATTTGGTGACGACAAAGGGTGATCCATGAAGACCAACCCAGACCCATTCTTTACCCATTATTGATCAATTTGATATCAATATTTTTCAATCGAATCTCATATTGATTTTTGGAGTGCTGATTATGAAAACCACTTCCATTTCTACTCCAGACTTATATTTTCATCTCAAATAAGGTCATTTCGGACCAAAATTTTCAGGTCGAGTTTTATATTGTTTCCTGCAGTGTTTGATGAGGTGAACTCAAAAATAACTTCAAAATTTTTCCCAGACTCACGCTTTACCAAATTTTGACCAAATTTGGACCAAAATTCTTGAATTGAGTTCGATGTTGATCCCAACAGTTTTTTGTGTGCTGATAACGCAAATCACCTCCATTTTGACTCCAGACTTATATTTTCATCCCAAATTAGGTCATTTTGGACCAAAATTTTCTAATCGAGTTTTATATTGTTTCCTGCAGTTTTTGGTGCGCTGAACTCAAAAATGACTTCCAAATTTTTCCTAGACTCACGCATTACCGAATTTTAACCAATTAAGGACCAAAATTTTGGAATCGAGTTTGACGTTGATTCCAACAGTTTTTTGTGTGCTGATAACGAAAATCACCTCCATTTATACCCCAGACCTACATTTCACTGAATATGAGCCCACAAGCTGCACATTTCGTCTACATAAGCAGAGTCCGAAATGCACAAATTCGCATCGCTCAGCCACACTACGCGCCCACACTAAACGGCGCGTACCCCTAGTTTAGTGAAAGGGAAACTTCAAGTCGGCTGTCTGGTGCCGTAAATTTGGTTTTCAAATTGATTTTAGAACTGTTTCACATATCCAAAAGTCCATTCCATTGTCACTCACGAATAGAAAATTTTGCGTAGAATCTAAATATGACCTCGTTTACTCAGTTTGATGCAGTTTTGACAAAGTTCTGTTTAATTTGGTTCGGCCGCGCGGCCCAGCCGCCCGGCCGCTTCTTGCCGGCCCGAGCGGCGCGCATAGCTTAACGCGCGCACCAGGCTGTTGCCACCCCTTGTCTGGATAGACACTCTCATTTCAGGACCGTGACATCACGTTGATACAAATGTGACAAAATGTTACGTTCCTTTGAGCATTAAATGTCATATTCGTTTCAATGCGAATCAGTCAATTTAATAGACCATTCACATCCAAACGAACGTGACACGATTCACTGAGAATGAAAGAGTCACCACCATCGCCCTTTCATTGGGTAACGCACCCACCGTTGCCAAAATTTGGGTGACGAGCCCGCGGTGACCAGATTTTGGGCAGTCATAAAATCGTCGCCCAAATTGGGGTAACGTCGGCGACGCCGTGAGGTCCCCGATGACGCTCTTCCGGGGCCACCACGATGACCCAATGTGGCGTTGAGGCCTCCGGTCATCGTGGTGGCCCCGGAAGGACGTCATCGGTAACCTCACGGCGTCGCCGACGGCGTTACCCAAATTTGGTTGACCAAACGCCTGTTACCAAATTTCGGGTGATGAATTAGTCGTCACCAAAATTTGGGCAACGAAGTTGCATCACCCATTTAAAGGGTGATGGTGACCAATTCATTCTCCAGTGGCGCCAACACGTGGGTGCAGGGTCTGCGGCCGCAGACCCTGATTTGGGGTGGGTGGGTGGTTGCGGTGGTGGGTGAGGGAAGGGGAAAAGAGAAAGGGAAAGTGGAGAAAAAGGAAAGGAAGGGAAGCAAAGAAAAGAAGGAGAGGAAAAAGAAGAGAAGAGAAAAAAGGGGGTTGTAAGGGGCTGAATATCAGTCGCTCCCCCTAAATGAAATTTCAGTGGGCGCCACTGTCATTCTCAGTGTTTTCAAAGGAGCGTGACGTTAAGTCACTCGTAGCAACGTAATGTCACGTTCCTGAAATGAGAGTGTAAAGTTTAAGCTCACGCAAGAGTCCGTAACTTAAAGTGAGGTGTGAGAGTGAATATGGACTTATAGCGGTTGGTTGGCTGAAAAATAATCGAAATTTTTCCGATCGTCCGAATTCGCTCACAGATTCCTCTCCGGAAAATAACCCCTTCGTGTTTTTGGTTTTATTGTTGGACGAATTTCAACACCGGCTCAAAAGCAACAAAGTTTTTTTTTAACCCTGTTTTGACACTGAAATAATCGCAAAATCGGCAATTTTCATCGCATTTTCAGAAATGAAACGGCAATTTTTTTCATTTTTAACGGCCAGAATAAACATCCTGACCATTTTTTCTATGCCAGACTTGTCAGTGCCCTGTTTTTGCATTTTACACCAAACAACATACATCAATTGTCAAATCTTCTTACATGATTCTCTTGTTTCCAACAGCTGTGGCCTGGCCAGGCCTCTTCCACCAATATCGTCTGCTCGACAAGTGATATATCGCGTAAATAGACTGAAGGTCTGTCTTTCATAAGTTGGATAAACTGATCACTCATTATAATCCAGAACCCCCTTCACTAAGTCTTTTCTAGATGTTTTCGAAAAAGTAAAAATATCCGAAATATTTGTTGTTAAGTTAACGGACCCCCGGGGTTCATGGTGCTCTACGGAGTAAATCAGAAAAAAAACATTGTAATTCCAGCTCACCAATGCCAGCCTCTCGACAGCTGCAACTCTCCGTCTCGGTACACAAATGGCCCAAGCCCGAGCAATCTGGCTATCTTCACAGGGAACTCGAGCCTCGCAATGGCACGGCCACCTCCCATTCTTTCCGAAGTGTTGTCGCCTGGGCACAGCGAACGCTTTGCGCGATAGTGGAAAACACATTCATCGACGCTACAAATTTATTTTACACTGCAAGAAATGAACTGGGAATTTATGAAGGCGTTTTTGTCCAAAGCATTGCGAAGAGAGCTTTCGCGAAACAAAGGTAACTCGTGAAGAAAGGAGAATCTTCACCGATTTAGGAAGAACCTCTAAGCTTAATGTTCGTTGATTTACGAAAAACCTCAGTAAATTACCAAGAGCGACCAAAGTCTTCGTAACTAATTAATCTTGTGAATTCACGAAGGTGCCTCAGTCGAGGCCTAAAATTCCATTCGGGAGATTCATATTTACAGTGTTCATTTCACTTTATCTTTGAGAAATTAATAATCAAGCCCTGAATCGTTTTAAATATCATTCATCTAAAATTAAAATACAAACAAGCTGAAACGCTGCCTGTTTCCTCTGTCTTTGGAGGTCTTTTCGCCAAAAGCTGAAATTTTTGTTACCTTGTCCTTCGTCGTGAAGAGAATTTGGGAAAAGTGACAAGAAGTTTACGGAAAGCTCCACAAGTCAGAAAATAACATAGGGGTCTAGGGCTCTTTCTTTCAGAACAACTTCATGAAAAGTCATTGCATTCAATTACAGAATAAACCTTCCGCTCGACAGAAGTATCTCCAGGACATTGAGGTAGAAAGCAGAACGAGCGGGCTGAAGGGGTGTGGACATGTGATATCCTCGTGCAGACTAGGAAAAAGCAGCCCACGACATGACGACATGACGGAAGGTGCGATCGAACACAGTCTGTTTCGGACATGGCATCAGCTGGAAATAAGCCTTATCGCGATATTGCGCATCGATCGCGCAACGATGTAACATACAATCTACTTGGTTTCGTTACACGAAGAAATAGTTCGTTTATTCCTTAGTATTTTCGTAGCACTGTTGAATGTGGACTATGCCTATCTTCACTCGTTTCTAAGTTATAGTTGAATGCTATGGGCATGAAAATTTAAGTAAAGGGCAGGTCGAGTCGGTTTTTTGAAAACAGAAACGAGCAATAAGAATTCGTAAGAATGGACACGAATGGACATGCGTGGAGCAAAAATAGTTGTAGGTGACTTTTCAAAGAATTAGCCATTCTGACTATAAACTCAATGTTTATTTTTCAATCATCTATCTTCAATCAGCAAATTTCTAAAACAAAAGACGAATCAAAAGTGTGAATAGTACAACATAAGTACAACAGAAACTGTACAATAAAAGTACAACGGGAATTGTACAAAGTACAACGAGAATTGTACAAAGTACAACGAGAATTGTACAAACCAGAACGAGGCCTGGACAGCACAGCACTCGTCATACTTTGAAAGTGCAATAAATTCCTGATACAAAATTTGCCAGGAATTTATGTTTTTTTGTTGTGGTTTCTTCTTGCAGTGTAGAATGCTCTATTTCGGAAAGTGGGTACACTGCTAATCCAAGTGTGGACCAAGTCCACGGTGGTCCACGCTACCTAGCGTGGACTTGGTCCACACTTGGATTAGCAGTGTATTTCTCGGCTCTGCACTCTAAATGTCTTACGAAGAAATTTCCCACAATAGAAAGGAAATGGCGCGAGCATAATACGAAGGTGGTTTTTCTTCGTATTACGAAGGTTTTTGTTTGTATCTTACAATGAAAATGTTAAAAAGATTCGTATTACGAAGGAATATTGCTTCGTACTATGCTTGCGCCGAATCCACTGTAACATTCGAATAACATTGGTCAAATTTCATTGTAAGACATTTAGAGTGTAGCGTAGGTGCAGCTACGCCTTCGGGGAGAGCCGCCTGCGAACTTGTGCCGGTTTGATGGTGGTGGCGTCGAGGATGTCCTCCCGCGACATGGCCTCGTCGCCCCAGCCCCAGACGCCGTCACCGTGCTGGTGGTCGTGGTGGCCGTCGTGATGGTGACCGTCGTCGGGGTGAGAGTACGGGTGGGATCCGTCGCCCGTCCTGCGCACTCGTTTCTCCACCATCTCCTTGGACACCGTTTTGAGGTCGTAGGCCCAGCCGACGCGCGAGAAGAAGTCGATGAAGGCCGTGGTCAGGTTCCGCTTGTTGGCTGAGCGATAGCGAAGCCTGTTACTCCAGTGCGGTTGAAAAGTTTTGTCTGTCTGTCTGTCTGTCTGTGTGTGTGTCTGTGTGTGTGTGTACACTACTCCTCCTGAACGGCTCGGCCGATCTGGCTGAGATTTTGCAGGCTTATTAGGTATGTTCTTGGCTCAGCACACGCGAAATTTCACTATCCTAGCTCAACTGGTTCAGATTTTATAGCCGAAAAACACCTAAAAAACGGCGAAAAATCGAGTTTTCTGCAGGTAGATCACCTCTGTCTTAAAGAAAGGGGGGTCTGGGGGGCGTAGCCCCCCAGCATGCATGCAACACGGAAGAAGTAACCGAGGATGGACAAGCCAATGCCTGCCGAAGGCAGGCTAGCGCCGCAGGCCAAGGTAGGTACGCCAGGCGCGGATTGAAGGAACAGGCCGCGAGACATCGCGAAGCCTGTTACGACAAGACGCGGTCTGGCGTAAACCTACCTTGTAGTTGCCCAGCTCGGCCGCCTTGTAGTCCCAGGGAAACACGTGGTGGTAGTTGTGCCAGCCCTCGCCGAACGTGATGTAGGCCACGAACGCGTTCTCCGTCGGAGACAGGCTCCTGCAGACAAGGAAGCAAGCGTGAGGACGCGCACTGGTGAAACAAAGGCATTAAAATTATGCCCTTTAAGGGCGTAAACGATTTACCCCCCAAAAGGGCATAAATCGTTAATGCCTTTAGGAAGGGCATTAAAATTTTGCATGAAATTCCTGTACCATTTACGCCCTTTCCAAGGCGGCGTAAAAGAGTAAAGGGTGTCATTTTTATGCCTTTGTTTTACCAGTGCGGTGCACCGCAAGAAAGGGTCCTACACTGCAGTGTAATATGTGAAACCAAACCAGTCTCTGCACTCCGCAGTTGGAAGTGCAGAGTTTGCAGTCTCGACACTCCAAGTGTGGAGAAGCCAGGCGCGGGTTCGGGGCAGAGGCTTACTTGTCTATAGGCCGGGTGCCATAGATGTGTGCCGCCGAGTTGACGAGCCAGGTGGCGTGCAGGGCGAGGACATATCTCGTAATGGTGGTGACGTACCACCCGAAGTAGATACTCTCGCCCCACAACAAGGTGGGCACCAGGGTGGGTATCGCGAAGGCCACCACAGGCACCAAAATCAGATAATATCTGCGGTGGAAGAAATATTGCAAAAAGCATTTACTCAACTCTAAAGAAAAATTGCACAGATAAGATTGTTTTTCTGTTTAAATCATCGTGGGAACCGCGTAGCGTCACGTTTGCCACGCTGCAAAATCAAGAAATTGGACGGAGCGAAAGCGAAGCCCGTTACTCGGGTGGGGTTGGGATGGGAGATTCTACATGTGTGCCAGTGAGCGTGCGTGTGTCAGCTCTAGGAGAGACTGGGGCACACAGTGGTCCAGAAGACCGGTAGAGGCGGCCAAAACTCTAGACGCGTTTTGATCAAAACGCGTCTAGAGTTTTGGCCGCCTCTACCGGTCTTCTGGCCCACTGTGGGGCACATTGGTCGGGATTTTTTTCTTTTGGCTACTAAAAACGCACGTGACGAGCTACAAAACGGTTCCGCCTATCTGGCTGATATTTTGCAGGCTCATTCGGAACATCAATTGCCTAGAACCACTGTAAATTAACGAAGTTGCTTTCGTATTTAGAACTCGACAAAGAACTGCTCGTTGCACAAAGAAAACGAAGGCTTTGCATCTTACGGAGGAAATCGTTTGTAATACAAAGGAAAAATCTTTTATAGCCTACGAAGAACTTCATCGCAGCCTGCGAAGGATATTTTATTGGCTGAGCGATAGCAAAGCCCGTAACTCCAGTGCGGTTGAAAAGTTTTGTCTGTGTGTCTGTGTGTCTGTCTGTCTGTGTGTCTGTCTGTCTGTCTGTGTGTACACTACTCCTCCTGAACGGCTCGGGCGATCTGGCTGAGATTTTGCAGGCTTATTAGGTATGTTCTTGGCTCGGCACACGCGAAATTTCACTCTCGTAGCACACGTGGTTCAGTTTTTATAGGCGAAAAACACCTAAAAAACGGCGAAAAATCGAGTTTTCTGCAGGCAGATCACTTCTGTTTTAAAGAAAGGGGGTCTGGGGGGCGCAGCCCCCCAGTCTCAACAAGTTAAAAAGTTTCAAGGGTCAAGATCGTGTTATCTGTAGATGAAGCAACTCTATCTTGAATGAAGGGGGTCCCGGCCCCAGCATGAAACAAGTAAGAAGTAACCGATGATGGACAAGCCAATGCCTGCCGAGGGCAGGCTAGCGCCGCAGGCCAAGGTAGGGTAAACTATACAGTTATCGGCAGGGGTACAGTTATCGTCATCTCGGCGAATAATTGGGTCCTGCTCTGCAAGTACGCGTCCGTTAGTGATGCGGCCAATGCAGGTCGCTAGAGACACCTTTTGAGCATGCAGGACCGAGACAGCATCGCGTTTGATTGAGCACGTCAGCCAACAGAGCCATGTTTCCTGTCAAGTGCAGAAAGAGGTCGCTTTGGCCGCCTGTTCTTATCTTCTATGCCAGGAACAGGGGTTCAATCTTTCGTTAAATTCGTGAAAGTCGGCCGGAAAAAACTATTCTCTCTGCCAGGTTCCTTCTCCCCATCTATTGAAGAAGGCATACTGTGCTTGGTGCACAGAAATTGCTCTTGCTTGCCCTCATTCGGGGGGTGCCGATAACTGCACCAGAGAAATCACCGCAAACACAGTTATCGTCAGGGTGGCCTCAAACTTCACTGGTGTTTCGGTCGTCGTCCGGGAGTTAATATTCTGATGCATTATGACCGTAGGAAGACCCCTGCCGAATTTGAATGAAATCGGACCACTATTTCCCAGTGATCTACGTGATTTACGAAATGTCCTCCTCGGCGCTTTGAGAGGTTGTTTTTTCGCAGCTCATGGTGCTAGTTGTCCGTGAGTCTAAAATGAAGGGCGCAAGAGGCATAACAGAAGAGAGAGGGGGTTCGTGACATGTCAAGGGGTGATAGAGTGTCTGTGACGACTGTTAGAAATTTTCGTCACTTTCGGTCATGTTTTGCCTTTTTAACAAGGGGTGCCGATAACTGTCATAAAGGGTGCCGATAACTGTATTTTGGCTGCCGATTACTGTGTTTTTGGTAACCTTTTTCTCAGGTTAAATAAGAGCGTCACAAAAAGTTTTTAGTGAAATCTTTGTCAGCCACTTCGTTGTCTAGATCCTTCTGAGGTGTCTGGAACAAGTCGCACGGGTCTAAGTGTCATAACCTACCCTAGAGGCCCTTGAAAAGAAAGCGATGCTCTTAAACTGACGGTAACTGTATAGTTTACCCTAGGTACGCCAGGCGCGGATTGGAGGAACAGGCCGCGAGACATCGCGAAGCCTGTTACGACAAGACGCGGTCTGGCGTAAACCTACCTTGTTTGTATTACAGAAATCGTTCGTATAACAAACGATCTCCTCCTTAGGCTGCGAAGCCTTCGTTTTCTTTGTGTTACAAAGAGCAGTTGTAGGAATTTATCTGTGTTCGGCCTTATTTTTGCCAGAGGTACGTGTGTTGCTTCCGGATATTAGCTTTTATTTCTTTGAGCTTACTTTTTCTGGAACATGACGATGGGGTCGCGCTCCAAGTCGCTGAAGTCAATGGTGGCGCCCTTGATGCCCACCTCGGGGTGCTTGCGAATCAAGAGCCAGCCCATGTGGGCGAAGAAGAAGCCGCGCTTCGAGTTGTGCGGGTCTGCGTCCGTGTCCGTGAACTTGTGGTGCACGCGGTGGTCGCGCACCCAGTCGTAGATGTGGTTCTGCAACAACAGGAAAAAAGAGTAAACAGAGTAAAAATGGGAAATTCCTGTTTATAATAGGCAAATAAAGAATACGTTTATATAATTACGAGTTTAATTTGTAAAATTATGATGGTATCCATCCAGAATGAAGTTGTAAAAATACGACTTCCCCTTACAGTTTAAGAGTGGCAAGACTACTATTTCGCGAGTTGAAACCCCCTTTCGATCCGTGTTGATTTCGAGCAGACGGCACTGCAAGAAAAAATCACAACAAAAGTGCACAAATTCCGGGCCAATTTTTATCAGGAATTTATTGTACTTTTAAATTACAATAATTGTTGCACAAAGTACACGGTAAAAACGAAACCTGGGATTCCCAGGAGCCCTATGTTATAAGGTGTAGGAGTTTCCAGGGGATTCCTGGGATTCCCAGGAAGCGTTTTCACCGTGTACAATGGAACCGGCACGACGAATGCTGGGCAGTCCAGGCCTCGCTGTGGTTTGTACAATTTTCTTTGAACTATATACAATCCGTGTTGCACTTTTATTGTACATTTTTTCTTGTACTTTGCACACTTTTTCTTGCAGTAGGGCCGAAACGCAGCCTCTCTCTTCACTTACCTGGAAGGACAGGGTCTGGCACAGCATGAGAAGCGTCCGGAGCTGCCACTTGGCTTTGTACGCGCGGTGCGACCAGAGGCGGTGCGAGCCGGCGGTGACGCCGAAGACGGTCAGGGCGTTAATGAGCGCAACTGCGGAAAGAAAAGGCTCAAAGTAGTCCCAACAGTCCGGTGTGCAACGGGCTGCATCTCCACCCTAAATGTTTAGGTAGAGTTTTGTATGTGTAACTTTCACGATTTTGTGCATACGTGGAATTTGCACAATATCATGCGTGCGAACTTGTTCCTGGGAAAACGAGGTACCGTTTTTACCGTGCAGAGAATCTTCACTAAACGACTTAAGGTGCAGGGACATGATAGCACTCACCCCAAAGCCACGTGGTGTAGAAATGCGGGTATATCTGGCCCGTCAAGAAGAGGTAGGCGGCTCGAGTGATGGCGTAGTGCAGGTAGATGAAGACGAACACTTTCGTCCAGACGATCTTCCATTCGTACGGCTTGGCCTTGGCCATGTTGTCCTGCATCGCCGAGACGGGCGCGAGCTTTGCTGGCAATAACCCCGTGGCTGGGGGCACCTTGGACGGCTCCGGCGTCATCCTGGACCCGTGAAATGAGAACTCGTTATTATAAGGACTCTCGCTCAAAACCTCACACTGTAAATATGGCGGTAGTGCGTGCAAAGAAATTTATGTGCAAACTCTTTTTTCCTCTCTTGCTTATAACGATTTCTTGAGCAAACGTAAAATGTGCTATTTTCTCTATAACTGTGCACAATTTTGATGGTTTTAAAGATAACATTGTCAATAGATCATGAAGAAATTGAAAAGTACATTGCAAAAGACAAAATGTCAGGGACTAAATACATTGTCCAATGAACAAATTAGTGCACAACTAAAGAGAAAATAGTACATATTACGTTTGCACAAAAAACTGTTTGGCAAGAGATAAAAAGTCAATGCGAGACTGAGAGTGAAAGTGAATTGAATTTGTTAATAATACGAGTCACCCGCTTTCGGGTGAGGATTCTTTTATCACCATGGTGGATCATGAAATGATCCTCACCCAAATTTGACCGATTAACACACTAAATGTTTACGCAGAATATAGTACGTGCAACTTGCACGATTTTGTGCATACGTGGAAATTACCTAATATCATGCGTCAGGATGCATAAATTTATGCAAATTAACGCACAATTTTGTGCACGACGGTACGCAGGTTTAAATTTATGCAGCACCATTGTACATAAACATTTAGTGTGAAAGTACCCCACCCAACCCAACCAAAACGCCGTCTGTCGTGTGCCGCAATCGGACCCACTGAATGTTTATGTAAGATTTTGAATGTGGTGATGCATTATTTTAAACTAGTGTACCGTCGTGCGTAAAATTGTGCACTGAGAAAACCTTACAAACTATTTTGGGCCTTACAAAGAAAAGTAGTTTGTATAACAAAGTATTTTGACCTTACGTAAGCTTACAAAGAAAATACTTCGTAATTTACGAACTATTTCTTCGTATAACAAAGTATTTTAGTTTGTTATACGTATGCTCAAAATACTTCGTAAGGTTTTAAGAGTGTGCGTGAATTTGCATAAATTTATGCATTTTTACGCATGATACTATACAAATTTCACTTATGATCAAAATCGTGCAAGTTGCACGTGCAAAATTCTACCTACACTGAGAATCCAAACGCTATGAGTATAGCGTCGACTCGAACCGAACGTGTGACCCCACCAATGGATTCCTCGTTCGGAGAGCAATCCGTTGGTGGGGCCACACGTTCGGTTCGAGTCCCATTCAGCGACTCTGAAGCTCAAAACGCGTCTAGAGTTTTGGCCACCTCCACCGGTCTTCTGGCCCACTGTGAGGCGTTTCGGGCGAGTGAAGCAAGCCGCGAGGTACCGACCTTGTTTAAATTTGGGCTGAATTGTTCTTCATGTGAAAACAACGCTGACTGGATTGCAAACTTGTGTTTGCTAGCTGAGCCAGCCGCAAGCCACGAATCCCTCTAAATTAGCAATGGCGTCTTATTCGATTTTAAAAGGTTTTTGATGAATAAACCTACAGGCTTATATCGCGATCAGACGTCGAGGCGACCTGAGCGGTGACTGGCGCGCTACTCGGCGCTGTGCAGAGCGCGGGTGACAAAGCCCTCGCACATGCCGCCGCACAGTGGGACGAAGCGCAAAAATAGGACTGAAGATTATAGGAGCAGCCAGACCAATATCGCAAAAAAAACTCAATGTTGCGCCAGTACCAACAGGCCACGCCATGACGTTCCCACCAATCTTGTCCTGAGGCACCGGCCCGCCTTCGGCAGGCTTTTTTTGCCGGCCATTCGCATTGGAATCGAAGTGTTTGCAAGGCGGGACGGCATTCGCCTTCGCCAGTTTGAACTAGACCTGGTGGCTCGCCACCGCCAAAGAAGCGCCGCGTCGAAGACAGTTCGCGAGGCTCACGACACTACAAAACGTGTACACACTATGCTCTCAGTATGGGACAGGCGTGAACGGGATCGAGCAAACGAGCAAAATGAGCGACAGAATATGAGACATTGTGCTGCTTGGACCGATCAGAGATTTCCTACGGATCGTCCGCCCAAAGGATATTTCATATTTCGCTGCTTGTTTGCTCAATGGCTCGTTTCCTTCACGAAACGAAGATCAAATACTTTTGGCAAATGTAAGAAACACACTCAGTCGTCAATATTCTTCCCTTTTATTTTCGTTCAGTTGATCAATCTATTATCTTTGGTTCCTTAGCAATGAAGGTTTCAGTAATTTCTGCGCGAATCTCATGGACTTATCACATTTAACTATGTGAATCGTGGAACTCCATGGTAAACGATGGAAGTATCACATGGTGCCCAGATCAGCGGTTTTTGAGGGAAATGTCAATAACGCTGAAACTTAATGACGTAGAGAATCGAGCCAAAGCTTAGTTTGCGCTTAAAACATCAAAGAAGTACACCCTCCAAGGCATACATCGCTAAAATGTTTTTAAAAGGTTTAAAGCGGACGCGGCGTGAAGTAGAATAAATTTCCATCCAGCTGTTTTTCGAGGGTTAAATATTCTGATCACTACCATTCCCGCCCTTTCCGACGGAAAGTCACGATCCACTGTTGGACGTCGATGCCCCCTTAATGCCTTCCTTCGAGTGTTCTTACTGCTGTTGGACTGTTGGATAGCGAGCCGTTTGGCAGAAAAAGCCAATGTCACATAGTAGCCCCGTCACATGGTGTTCCTCCCTCCAAAACCGGATGCCGTAGAGGCAGCATTTAACAAACCTTCACCTCTTTTAACCCCTTTACCGCAAAGCAGCCGAATTGGGGTGGAGGTAAGATTTTCACCGGAACCTCCCCTTTTATTAGTAGAGAAGTACTTTAAACGGGCAAATGCCCTTACAAATACCCGTAGGACAAAAATCAAAGAAAATCGCCCAGCCTACGGCCAAGTTCAAACTGGCGAGCAGGAAAACGAAAAAAGTATTTAAACGTTAAGCAATCAACTTACAGAAAAGTTACAAAGTGTTTATTTCCACAGAAAACCACTATGTGCACAAAAAATGAACATGTACAAGGGATCAGAAGTTTTCACAGCACGCAGCTAGCTCACAATACATATACAAAAATGTAAACTGTCCACTTCTAGTACACTTCTTGTGAAACGAAACCCTAATCAGATTAATCATGCAAATGAACCAAACAAAAATCTACAACACTAAATTGCAAAGGTAAAGCGAAGTACGGTCGTTTTGATGAAGTGCATGAAGAACGAGGTGTACGTTTTCCACGACACACCGAAATTTCGCAAGTTTCCGCGGTCACCAAAGCCACTCCTCGTCCGAAGAGTGGGCCCAGCAGCAAGACGGGTATGCATAGTCCTCCTAAATGTCGTCCTGACCGTCAGGATTGTCCTGAGGATGACTGCCCGCCGACGGTGCGTTGTCCACCTCGGTGAGGGAAGTGTGCTGGTAGCGCAGCACGGACGCGCACTCGTCACAGTCCACGCTCTGGCCTCGGCCTCCACGGCCTCCAATGAGGCGACTAGACCTCCCTCCCCGATCCTGAAAGACAGGAGATTGTGCACTATTAAAGGGGAGGCTGGCAGCGGTGAGCTTCGCACAATGGGCCAGGTGACCGGTGGAGGCGGCAAAAATTCGAAACGCGTTTTGACCCCTAGAGTCGCTGATGAGCAAGCCCTCACATCCACCCGAGCACCGAGTGAAGAAGAAGAAGAAGAAGAATAAGAAGAAGAATAACAAAATCCGGAGACAGTTCATAAAAGTCGCTAATTCATTACATCATAGGTTCATTTGGGATCTAAAAATTGTTTAGAGTTTAGAATTAAACAAAATGAAGTATCATTATTTTGAACCGTCAAAACCTCAAAATGAGACGATTTTGAGAACTGGTTCCGGTGCTACTTCTTCTTATTGTTCTTCACTTGGCGTTCTGCTGGAAATGTCTCTTGTGAATCGAACCGAACGTGCGACCCTTCCAATGGATTCCTCGTTCGAAGAGCAATCCATGGGTGGGGTCACATGTTCGGTTTGAGTCCCATTCAGCGACTCTGGAGCTCAAAACGCGTCTAGAGTTTTGGCCGCCTCCAGTGGTCTTCTGACCCGCTGAGCTACGCCACTGACGGACTAAGAGTCCTTACCGTTCCCTGGCCTTGCGGCTGGCCGTCGACGACATTGCTGTGGTTGGCCACGATCTTGGCTCCGCAGCGGCCACCATGCAGCGTCTCGCAGCGGTCGGGGCACATCGACCGGTCGTCGGCCATCGGCGGTGGCGTGTCGACCACAGCTCTGGTCCTGACCACGTGCAGCCCCGGGTGGGCGGCCACCACCTCCCGGATCTCGGCGTCCTGGCGCTCGCACTCCTTGTAGATGTCGAGGCGCAGCCAGCGCAGTGTGGGAGGCAGCGCCGCGCCAAGGCGCTTCAGTGTGCCGGGGCGGATGTCAGTGGCGTAGCCTGCCAGGGGGGCATCCAAGAATGGTGATACACACTGCGAGTATCGGTTAACTACTCCATGGATCGGAAAAAAAAGAATAACTTGATACATCTCCAGATTGAGTTGTATTTAATTCTTGTGCCTCAGGCAGCACTGTGAGAAAAAACTACAGAGAATCCTGTTAATTTTTTCACAGCGTCGCTCTGTACCCAAAACTACAGTGATCTCTGTCTTTTAAAAGACGGAGCTCACTGTTGTTTTTGGTGTTTATCTCTCTGTTGTCCGAGCGGCCAATGCCACATCGGGACGGCATGGCCAAAGCCTCATAGGTCACCGTTGGGTCCCCGAGGACGTCGACGGGCACCTCACAGGGTCCCCGATGACGATGCGAGCATTTTAGACCTAGGTTCCGACCATTCGTTGAAAAGGTCTCATCAAGATCTGTTCGAATCAAGAATTAAAAATTTTCATGTTCAAGCCCCTTTTTTTAAGATCCAGTTGACCAATCAGGATCTTGAAAAAAGGGGCTTGACCAAGAATTTTTTTTAAATTCTTGATTCGAGTAGATCTTGACGAGACCTTTTCAACGAATGGTCGGAACCTAGGTCTAAAATGCACGCATCGTCATCGGGGACCCTTTGAGGTGCCCGTCGACGTCCTCGGGGACCCAACGGTGACCTATGAGGCTTTGGCCATGCCGTCCCGATGTGGCATTGGCCGCTCGGACAACAGAGAGATGAACACCAAAAACAACAGTGAGCTCCGTCTTTTACGAGACGGAGATCACTGTAGTTTTGGGTACAGAGCGACGCTGTGAAAAAATTAACAGGATTCTCTGCAGTTTTTTTCTCGCAGTGAGGATGGCATGTATGACTACACCAACACTGAGTTGCTTCATGGATCAGTTCGGCGGCCGTTGGGCATAAGGGCGTGAGTCACATGGGAAATCCATTGAAAATAGGTTGTTCTGTCCGATGATCACTCAATTGAATTGCGAGAAAGCTAGTCAAATGGTCGGGGTAGCTCAATAGGGAGAGCATACTTCGGAGAAGATTCAAACCGGAAGTCAGCAAGACAACCATAGAAACAACAGAGCGCTCAATGGGGCAGAAGACCGGTAGGGGCGGCCCAAATTCTAGACGCGTTTTGAGCTCCAGAGTCGCTAAACAGGCCTCGAACCGAACGTGTGACCCCCACCAATGGATTCCTCGTTCGGAGAGGAATCCATTGGTAGGGTCACACGTTCGATTCGAGTCCCCTTTAACGACCCTGGAACCTCTAACACTGTGGCAAAAAGGTACGGAAAATTCTGTTAATTTTTTTTGCCAGGATTCTCCGTTGCCCTCTAACAGTATTATCTGTACGCTCTTACAGTATTCTCCGTAGGGCCGTACAGTATTCTCCGTACGACCGCACAGTCTTCTCCGTAGGATCTGGAAGACTGTACAGTCCTACGGAGATCACTGTGAGGTCCTACGGAGAAGACTGTGCGGTCCTATGGAAAATACTGTAAGAGCCTACGGAGAATACTGACAAGAGGGCTACAGAGAATTACCACAAGCTGTTTACAGAATTTTCCGTGCCACAGTGAAACGCGTCTAGAATTTTGGCCGCTTTCCACCGGACTTCTGGCCCACTGTGGAGCGGTCGGGTTCACCCTCAGATTCTTACGATGAAAAGGTCATCATAACTTACGTTGAAATGAGAACATACGTACTACAATGAAATTCATGCGTAATACGATAAAATCATGCGTACCTTATGAAGAAACCATGCGCACGCAGAGAAATGCTTAGCGCTGGCTGCTAATTCTTAACTGCCCTTGCTAATAATCTTAGCTGTATATGGACAGCTAATACCTTAGCACCAGTTGCTAATATTCTTAGCAGGCACATATTAGCTAGGTAGCTAAGGCCTTAGCAAGCAAAACTAAGTCAGAAAATTTTCGGTATTCGAACCTCAGACTTTTACTTGCCGACTTGTTACCTTTCCCCTTCGGCTACTGCCGTTCCTTCTGCGGAGAGAAGTTAGGGAGGACTCATATCCTACGCTGGGGTCGAATGATCAGTCAATAGGAGCTTAGCGCCAGCAGCTAATTTATTAGCACCACCGCTAAACCTCTGTGCTAAGATTTTTGTCAAGTCTTGCTAAGTTGTGTTAGCTTCCGCTGCTAAGTCTGCACAATGTAGCTAAGGATATTAGTTCTTGTGCTAAGTCTCTCTTGCTAAGGTACATTAGCAGGTCAGCTAAGTTATTTTTCTGCGTGCGTAATACGATTCAATCATGCATAGCTTACGCTGAAATCTATGCTAAGTACGTATGTGCAAATTTATGCGTACCTTACGATGAAAAACCATCGTAATACGTATAAAAACGATCATAAGATGTTGAGCGTGTTGTGCTCACCAACTTCCAGGCGACGCAGCTCGCGCAGCTTGCCCAGCGCCCTTTGCAGCCCGTAGAACGAGCCATCGCAGGCGCGGAAGTGGCACTTGATGAACCGCAGCTCGCGCAGGCTGGCGAGCTTGGCCGCCGCGCCGGGCAGCTGGGGCGTGCTGTACTTGCTGAAGCCCTCCAGGCACAGCGCCTCGAGCGGCAGGCCGCTTTCGGGGTGCGCGCACGCGTCGAGGAAGCTCACGCTCTTGCGGTTCAGGCCATGCCTGTCAGGGTCAAACGCACACTGTTAAAAATGATCATAAATTTACGACATTTTGGAGAACAATTATGTTGTTTTTAAACGACATACTTTGTTACGACTCCTTACACGGTAAATAAAAAAGGTACCTGGTTTTCCCAGGAACCCTATGGAAGAGACATAGGCGATTTCCAGGGAGTTCCTGGGAAAACCAGGAACCGTTTTTACCGTGTAGCGTAAAATATAAAGCGAAAAAATGCACTAATCTACGCAAATTTAAGCATGATTTTGAGCACAACGGTACACAGGTTCGAAATCATGCATCACCACATACAAAATTGTACCTGTAACGTGTGACAATCAAACGAACGTAACACGATTCGCGTTACGACAAACGTGACGTCACATTCCTAGATTCCCAGTGCAGACACGTGCGGCGCCTTGCACACTCTTAGACTCGTATTGACCTTTTTCTCTCTCTATTATTGACTTTTTAATCCTTTGCTTACTTAGTTTTTTTAAGCAGCAATAATATGTAGAATTTACTTTGTAACCATAAACAATATTGTTCACTATTAAGACTAAATTGTCATCAATTACTCTGCAAGTAAAGGTGTGGATAGTACAACAAATTACAACAGGGATTGTAGAAAGTGCAACGAGAATTGTGCAAACCACAACCAGCCCTGGACTGCCCAGCACTCGTCATGACGGTCCCATTGAACTTTGTACAACAATTGTTGTACTTAAACAGTACACTAAATTCCTAATAAAAAATTTGCTAGAAATTTGTGTACTTTTGTTGTGGTTATTTTCTGCAGTGTATTGGCTGAAGTCAATTGCGTACTGACTCTTTGGCCGTACACACTAAATGTCATGGGACTTTTTTTGTCCCACGGTTTATGCAATTTTAAGCACATCCGGTGGTGATGCAATTTTGTGTCCGCCAGGCGGGACAAATTGTCTAGTGAAAGTACAAGTTGCAGCTGGCGCCGGACAAAATGTGTCACCAGACGGGAACAAAATTGTACCAGCGTCGGATGTGCTTAAAATTGCATAAACCGTGGGACAAAAAAAGTCCCATGACATTTAGTGTGTAGCAAACTGACTTTGAGTCAACATAACGAACAAAATCTTACATAAATATTGAGGAAATAGTACTGTTTATTGCTGTGCGAAATACCCTTTAACAAAACATAAAAAGCAAATAACAGTCTGAGGGTGCACTCACCCAGTTGCGTCGACGGTGTGGTACACCTCTTCCCCCAGCAGCGTCACACTCCGCAGGGCCCTGCAGCCCAGCAGCGGACGCAGGTCCATCTTGAGCGGCACGGTCACGGCGCGCAGCGACGTCAGGCCCAGGCCCTCCAGGGACGGCACCGGGTCCAGGCAGAGGTGCAGCTCGCGCAGGTTGGCCGCGTTGGCGCGAAGCAGCGGCCACGCCGCCACGCGCTGCCACTTCTGGGACCTCTCGTCCCGCCAATCCGTCACCTGTCTAAGGAAAGGCGTGTGTAGGGTTATCAGGTTGGGTAGAATGATACTCAGATAGAGTCAGATGTAGGTTTATTCACTCTAAAAGTCTTATGGTGAAGATTCTCCATATTATATGGTGAAGATTCTCCATATTATATGGTGAAGATTCTCCATATTATATGGTGAAGATTCTCCATATTATATGGTGAAGATTCTCCATATTATATGGTGAAGATTCTCCATATTATGGTGAAAATTCTCCATATTATGGTGGTGCAGCTGACTTCGTAAGTTCAAAATTCATGGTACCTTACAGATATTTTGACAAATTTCTTTTGTAATATGGAGAAAATCTCCGCCATAATATGTTGGTGCAGCCATTCACAGTAAGACATTTACAGTGTTCAGTAATGGGGGAAATGGGGTTCCCCCCCCACTGAGAAAACCTTACAAACTGTTTTGGGCCTTACAAAGAAATGTAGTTTGTATAACAAAGTATTTTGAGCATACATAAGCTTACAAAGAAATGAGTTCGTAATTTACGAACTCTCTCTCTTCGTATAACAAAGTATTTAAGTTTGTTATACGTATGCTTAAAATACTTCGTAAGGTTTTAAGAGTGCCCCCCACACTCTTCAAAGCCTACGAAGCATTTGCTTCATCACTACAAAGAAAATGAAGGCATTGTAGAATTGCTTCGTGAAGAAATGCTTCGTATTACGAAGGATTTTGCTTCATAATACGAAGCATTTCTTCGTAGATTTTACAATGCCTCTTCGTATTACGAAACGACTCTTCGTAGAGTTTTTACTGTGACAGCCGCTTAAAAGGTAGGCAAAAAGTGCTACCCCCCCTCTCCCATAGGCCGCCTCTGGATCCGCCACTGACTTTGAGTACGAAAAACTGCACGTATTTCACCACTTTGGTGCAAAGTCGCGGACAAAATTTGAACGAAAAATCGTGTGCACAAAAACTGTGATGTCTCGTACGAAACTCTGACAAAAGTATATGCAGTGCGTGTTCAAACACTCTGATGGCGAAACTCACATGCAGGGAGAATTTGGTGAGCCGCGTCGTGATGCCGGTGACGGCCTCGTCCGCGCCGCCGCCTTGCCCACCCTGCTGGCGAAAGAACGCCATCTCCTCGGTGATCCACCAGAGGCCCAAGGCGCTGGTGGACCACGCCCAGTCTACCACGAGCTCGCTCAGCGACAGGCGGGCCAGCGTCGCCCAAATGTTTTCCGGCATGTAGGGCATGTCGCCGTCGGCAGGGCGGTAGTCCTTCGTGTCCGCGAAGCGGAGGTCCTGCTTCGGCTGCCGCCACTCCAGCACGCGCAGCGTGTCGGCCTGCGCGCGGATCAGGGGCAGGGCCAGCTCCTTGGGGACCTGCGCAGAGCGTGCTAATTGGCTGAGCGATAGCGAAGCCTGTTACTCCAGAGGGGTTGAGAAGTTTTTCATGTCTGTGTGTGTGTGTGTGTGTATCCGCACTACTCCTCCTTAACGGCTCGGCCGATTCTGCTGAGATTTTGCAGGGTCAATGGGAATATCCTTGGCTCGCCACACACCAAAATTCAGCTTTCTATCTCAATACATATGGTCATTACAGCCAAAAAACACTTCAAAAATGGCAACAAATACACTTTATACTGACATATGTTGTCACGTTAAGTTTTGCACCATTTCACATGTTTTGGAGGGTGCTGAAAATGAAGAGAGAATCCATTTCAACATCCGACCCAGGTTCGAGACATTATGGGACAAAAGTTAGCCAGAATTTAAGGGGAGTCAAACCAAAAATGTCATGCAGTTTGACCAGCGTACGGATCACATCACCCTGCACATGAAAGGGGGGTCTAGCACAATAGTTTGAACCGAATGCTGCTTTGATGTGCGATCAGGTGTCTTTGTGGAGAGATGTGTGGCGAGAGAGTCTGCCGAAGGCAGACCAGCGCCGCAGGCCAAGGTAGGTGTTAACGCCAGGCGTGGATTGTCGAAACTGACGCAGCATCGCGAAGCCTGTTACGACAAGACACGGTCTGACGTACACCTACCTTATTGAGATTTTGAGTGCCTTTATCTTGTCAACGACAAAAGGTAAAAAATTTAAGTACAGGGTAATTTAGATTTAAAATTTAGTTTTGAATTTAAGTTACTCTATGCGTAACATTATTATTTCTAGCCGTTTACGAAATAAAATGTCAAAAAACGCAAACACTGGCAAAACTAAAGCTTAAGTATTACTGTTTTCAAGCGTAATCAGGTTACGCTTGAAATCAAGCGTAACAGGCTCTTCCGCCAAGATTCCCCCTATCTAAATGCATAGGGGAATTTCTAGACTATGCTTGATTTCAAGCGTAACGTCTTGAAGCGTAACTTTATGCTTGATTCAAGCATAGAGTTACGCTTTAGTTTCACCAGTTAACAAATGTTAAGTTAAGTTAGCACGCCCTGGACCTGCGGGCAGGGCGTTACTTTGAGCATCGTGGAACGTGATTCACTCTCTCAGGCCACACGCTGAATATCACGTACAATTTTGTACGAGACATCACAGTTTTTGGTGCGCACGAAATTTTCGTACAAATTTCGCACGGAAAACTGCACATTTTTCGCCATTTTTGCACGGCATTGTACAAACTTTTGAACAAATTTATATGAAAGTTGCAAGTGCACAGAAAACTGCGATGTCTCGTACAAAATCTGTACAGATACAGTTAGTGTGCACACACTAAATGTCATGGGACTTTTTTTGTCCCACGGTTTATGCAATTTTAAGCACATCCGACGCTGATACAATTTTGTTCCCGTCTGCACTGTTATCCAAGTTGTGATACTTTCAACACAAAAACGTGCGATAATATCCAAAATGTGATTCCCACGAATCATTGCTCCCCAGATGCGATGACTTTTGTATCACAAAATTTTTGCAATGATCATCGCACATTTCTGCAATGAAAGTAGGAATTATTGCACAAAAATGCGATGATGGCAACACAAAATCTGCATTCAATACAGTTTTTTGCAATGATCATTGCAAAATTCTGCGATGCAGCAGCTCATCACACCTTGTTGCAATAATCATCACAGAAAAGAGCGATGAAATTTGTATCGCGCTGAAAGTGCGTTCTGCATCGCAAATGGAATAACCGTGTGGTGACACATTTTGTCCGGCGCCAGCTACAACTTGTACTTTCACTAGACAATTTGTCCCGCCTGGCGGACACAAAATTGCATCACCACCGGATGTGCTTAAAATTGCATAAACCGTGGGACAAAAAAAGTCCCATGACATTTAGTGTGCAGGGCTCTCGTCAGCGGGGCTCAGTCGAGGCTCGAGTCGGGCTCCGCAATGGCCGAGGCTCATGTCGACTCTGCCATTCACTGCAGTACCCTACTCACACGTAGCATGGCGAGCTCCTGGATGGGCAGGCGGCACGCGGCGCTCAGGTCGTCCCGCAGGTCCTCGGGGGGCGGCTGCTGGAAAGACAACTGCAGCCGGCGCAGGCACGGCGCGCGAAGCAGCACACGGCGCAACGCGCCCACACCACGCATGGTCTCGATGCGCAGCCACAGCGCCCCGCCCTCGCCCTGGAACAGGAGCACCGATCAGGGCCCAGCCAAATCCAACGGAACCAACCGGGACTGACGAAAAACCCGACTGCTGTGGCACTCAATGTGGAGGTAGAAGCCGAAAGATGTAATGTAAGACTCCGTCCTGGATCTTCCAGGACCGTCCTGGTTTCCCCTATGCTAAAGGAAAACCAGGACGGTCCTGGAAGATCCAGGTCCAAGTTTTACCGTGTGGGTATGAGGAGCGTCCCAGAGTGGGCCAGGAAAACTGGTGGAGGCGGCCAAGATTCGAGACGCGTTTTGAGCTCCAGAGTTGCTCAACATGATTCGAATGGGGCGTGTGACCCCCCACCAATAGATTGCTCTCCGAACGAGGAATCCATTGGCGGGGTCACACGTCCCATTTGAGTCCTGTTCATCGACTTTGGAGCTCAAAACGAGTTTCGAATTTTGGCCACCTCCACCGGTCTTCTGGCCCACTGTGCGTTGCCCGTCGACTCACTCCCAGTGGCCGCGTCTCCGGCTCCCAAGGCTTGTCCGGCGCCTCCTCGAACGACACGCACACCCGGCTCCAGAGTCGCGCCTCCATGGACACTTCGCGCCACCGGCGGCAGACGCCGTGCACGGAGAACAGCACGGCCTCGGGCCCCGCCAGCGCGAAGATGAGACGCAGAACGTCGTCGGGCAGGTCTTCCACGGACAACTGAAAGCAAGACAGGGACCGACCGGCCATAAATCACTTGTCGTTGGACACAAGGGCGCAATGGGGTGGAGCGATAGATCTAAAATGGAAAAAGTTTTTAAATGAAAGAAACACTCTCGTTCCAGGAACGTGACATGACGTTAAAACGAACGTGACATTTTGCCACGCTCGTTTGAGCGTTGTGTCACGTTCGTTTGAATGTGAACAAGCTAATTTTTTGACCGCATCACATCCAAACGAATGTGACCCAACGATCAAACGAACGTGACATTATGCCACGTTCGTTTCTACGTGATGTCACGTTCCTGGAATGAGAGTGAACTCTTGGAGCCAAAAAAACAGGTTTTGCTTTGACTCATCTCGGAACGACTTCATAACGTTCTCGTAAACGCTTAAGTAATAACCCATAACTTATGACTGCTTTCAAAAAGAATAAGTTATTTTTCTAGCCTATTGAATTTGTGTTTGGAAGTATTAGCAACAGTCCATACCGTCCATACCCTTAACCTTTAGCAAACAGTGTGTTTCGTTACTGAAAGCAGTGCTAGTGGAATCTTGGGTTAAGGATTTCCTAATAGAGCACACGCTCTTGAGAGCGACCTCGTGGGTACACGTTGAAGAGAGTGTACCAAGTACACTGTTCGGGTTCGAAAAGTAATTTGGCGGCCTAGGCAATTTGTCCGTCACACCGCGGGGCGCCGACAGGCTTCGACGAGGACGAGGGTCCGTCCGGGGAGGGAGGGGGACTGCGATAGCGATTCTCGCAGCCGGGCATTAACACGACGATTTCCATTGAGTGGCGGAATTAAGGTGTCACGAAAGGCTTTACTTAAGAGGCAAGCTGACGACGCTGAACTCACAAAGACCCTAAAACGCACTGCAAGAAAAAGTGTGAAAAGTACAACAAAAACTGTACAATAAAAGTACAACAGGGATTGTAGAAAGTAAACAAGAATTTTACAAACCAACGAGGCCTGGACTGCCCAGCACTCGTCATGCCGGTTCCATTGTACTTTGTACAACAAATGTTGTACTTTGAAAGTACAATAAATTCCTGATAACAAATTTGCCAGAAAATTGTGCACTGTTGTGGTTTTTTCACTCTTAAAGTCTTATGGTGAAGATTCTCCATATTATGGTGAACATTCTCCTTATTATGCTGGTGAAGCGGACTTCGTAACTTACAGTTCAAAATTCATTGTACCTTGCAGATATTTCGTCGAATTTCTTTTGAAATATGGAAAAAATCTCCACCATTATATGTTGGTGCAGCCATTCACCGTAAGACATTTAAACTGTGGAGAACTCCACACTTGACATGTGCAGACTGCAAACTCTGCACATGCAAGTTCATGAACTACAAAGAACTGCAGAGACTGCAAGTTCCAAACTTTAAATGTCTTACGGTGAAAGGCTGCACTAACATATTGTGGTGGAGATTTTCTCCATAATACCAACTAAATTCGTCAAAATATGCATTAGGTACAGTGAAATTTTCAATGGTACGTAATGAAGTCAGCTGCACCGCCATGATATGAAACATTTTCACCACTCTCTTAAAAACCTTACGAAGTATTTTAAGCATACATATGACAGACTAAAATACTTTGTTATACGAAGAAATAGTTCGTAAATTACGAAGTATTTTCTTTGTAAGCTTATGTATGCTCAAAATACTTTGTTATACAAACTATATTTCTTTGAGAGGCTCAAAATAGTTTGTAAGGTTTTCTCAGAGCATAATATGGACAATCTTCACCGTAAAACATTTAGAGAGCACACCTTCCCATTTCAAAAGCGGAGTTCCTAGTTTCACAGTGTCGTTTTGCCCCCCGAAGGGCGCGAGTCCTTCAACGTCCTGCACGCGCACTGTAGGAGAGGGGGCGTGGCTAATAAAGCGGCCTGTTGTCGCGGCGGCGCGCTGGAAAATTTGTTGTTGTCGGTAATGGCCACTGAGATAAGGAAGGCACAGTGGGCCAGAAGACCGGTGGAGCGGCCGCAATTCGAGACGTGTTTCGAGCTCCAGAGTCGCTAAGAGGGACACCAACCGAACGTGTGACCCCACCAATGGATTCCTCGTTCGGAGAGCAATCCATTGGTGGGGTCACACGTTCGGGTCGAGTCCCATTTAGCGACTCTGGAGCTCAAAACGCGCCTATAATTTTGGCCGCTCCGCCGGTCTTCTGGCCCACTGTGGAAGGCCAGCAAGCGGTGGTTAGGTTAGGTTAGCCCACCGGGCCGGCGCGTGGCTGCGTGTCATTCCAAGATGGCCGGCCGACGCAAGGCGACGTGTTTGGCGCTGCTGGCAGCGCTGCTCGCCCTGCCCGCCGCCCAGCCCTCCCTCCTGCTGAAGAACAACACCGTGGCCGTGGACAGGGAGGCGCGCTACATCCACGACTTGCTCAAGCCCGCCCTGGTGCGCGCCGGCCCGTTCCCCCCAGCACTGGTCGTCATGGGGACGCCGCGGTGGCTGGAAGCGTTCCTGGGCCTGCAGGTAGAGGTGTGCGAAAGGTTCGGATTCGGGAAAATAGCTTAAAATCCGAACTATTCGAAAAGTTCGGTTCGAAGGTGATTCGCCTTCAAATCATCAGTCCCTGCCCTTTCCCGTTTGAATCGCGCGCTGCACACCAACCAGCTAATGGCAGCCTAAGACATAATTATGATATGTGCTCAGTAAATGTCTTACGGTGAAAGGCTGCACCAACATAATATGGTAGAGATTTTCTCCATAATACCAACGAATCGTCAAAATCTCTAAAGGTACAGTGAATTCTTAACGGCATGTTACGCGGTAGGGCACCTGAAAGAATTTAGGAGCCGAGTGACGTCACCGATTTCGACCGTTTTTTGTTGGATCGAGGTGCCCCAGTGCGTGGTAACTCCGGCCTTATAGGATTCTGTTATTTGACCGAACTGGAGGAGCAGGGCGCCAACGTGACACGGGCTAAAAACAAAAATCCTCCCGTGTTAGGGGCAAATCTGCAACGGAGCTATTTATCGATATTTGACGTATTTTTGATAGAATAATGCGTATAAAATGAAAGGAGGCGTAAATGAAACAAAATTATTTCATAGCAAGTTAGTTTAGACCCAATTTAGACCTTTTCAAATTTTGTCAAGCGTTTTTGCTTGTAGGTTGGTGGAATCGGGTTGTCGTCTGCTGAAGTAAATATAAACAATAAACAAAACATACTGTCTGCTATTTTGTTTACTAAATTTTGTAAACATCGTCTGCTTGTTTGTAAACAAACTTTGGTAAATGTAGTCTGCATGTTTGTACACAAGCTTTTGTAAACATCTCCATGTTTGTAAACTCTCCTTTAAGTATTCTTTGGGCCAAGATTTTGAGGTGTTTACTTGGATGGATAAGAGTTTATGTCCTTAATTCTTTGAAAAGGGATTGAGAAAACAATGTTCATATATTCTTTTTGATAACATTCTTTTATTAATTAAACGGCTGTTTCAGACACATCTTATAAATTTATTAGCCGCGACAGGCACACAAAAGTGCGAAGCCTTCTGCCACCAGGGGAAGACTGCAGCTATGGCATGAACACTCTAAATTGAAAGTTGTCTTCTTGCAGTGCTCGCAGCGACACTTTCTTCAGTCAAAGATTAGTGTCCTAGCGATCCAATTTGCGTCTATCTAAATGGTGCTTCTTCCTGGCAATTGTGAGTGCATGCTTGCAAGTACATAAAAGTACATAGTTGTGATCATGAACACACTTACAACTGCATGTTGCATGTATGCGCTCAGAGGCATGCACTCGCCAAGAAAGCACTTGTAACGGTCTACCTGCGAGCATGCACTCAAGTGACCCAGGCACATTCAACTGATCATAATCAGCAGGGCAAAATGGATGGGGTCTGGAACGACATGATCATTCAATGTGTTCGTTCCCATGTCAAAAGAATTGTTGTCGTTGTTTTCGCTGTCATCAACATTATCCATTCCTTCATTTGGGTGGGATTCCATTAAGCCTGGATAAATAAAAAGATAAATTAATTTTTGAGTGCATAAAAGAAATGGCAATTCATATTTCTTAGAACCTACCACAATTACAGGCATGTTCAGCACCAGAATTGCGTTTGAATACAGAAATGTTGTCTTGACCAGAAGATTCAGAAGAAGAGCCTAGACATACAAGAAAAGATTACTTAAAAAGTCTACCACAGCCCATTTCTCTTTGTTGCTTTGAGAAAACAAAAGGAAAACCTACAGGAATAATTGTTTCCTCTGGCCTCAAATTCAGTGCAGGTCTTGTAATGTTCACTCATGCTTGGAACAGCATTGCACTTGTGCTGCCCACTAGGATGCAAATCATCGGGACCAAAGCGCCTAGCACACACCTATTTATTGCTAAACTTCTTCAGCTGCAGCAGTTTAACTTTGACACAAATTAATCCACAATTTGTACCTAGAAATAAAAAAACAACGGGAGATTAAGTGAAAAGAAATATTTAACTGCTGTGCGTGCATGGCAGAAGAGGGCTAACAGATAAAAAGAAGAGTATTAGCAAACCAAGCAGAGCAAACAAAAACACAAGTTAAGAGGCTTTAAGCAAAAGCGTCAAAAGAAAATAATGCAGAAAGCAAGACAGGCATTGAAAACCATCCAAGGCATCAGAGCATATTCTGTGCTATAGAAGCCATATAAGAACCTAATAAATGAAAGAAACCAAAGAGAAGTCTTGTTAAAGAATTACTAAGTGTCTTACTCTGAATATTCTAGGCTTTTGCAGACAGATTACATACTTTTTCACATTGATAGAACATCTTTTATGACATATCAGCTGCACTCAAATGAAGCAGTAAATAAAACCATCTGGAGCACCACTGGCGTATGCTATTTCACGATAAGTTCCATTAAAAGTGCCACTTGCTACACATCAAACCGCTTACCCAGCTGTGAAAAGGATGGCAACACATCCAGCCATAACTTGTGCAATGAAATTTTGATCAGAACAGTATCTTGACAAGTACCAGCTTAATTTATCAA